ATCATCATTAACCATAATACAACATGAAATGACCTATATATAGGTCCCAACACAAAAGAAAATACAATGACTCTTTTGCCCTCGGGGCTACACTCATGACTCAGCTTATACTAAGGGTACAATAGGAAAAAAAATGCATGAAAGAAATACATAAATAACTAGAAATATAAACTCTGAATCGTGGTCGTCGATCTACGCTGTCTACGGCGATACACATGTCTGAACCTCTGGTCGATGTCCACATCATGGACCACTTAACCTACTTGATTATTCTTTCTCTTTTTATCAACGAGTGAACATTTAGCTAGTTTCTTTGTAATTTGTTTGATGGTAATTCCATTTAGCTCTAAATTTGTCATATCTTCGAACAATTTAGAGTGATAACGCTCTCTTTTGGTTTTCCTTTTTTTATTCAAAGAAAAAACAACAAAAATCATTTGATAGCTTTATGTGTACTAAGCTGAAAAAAATAACTTTTGGGGCATGTAATTGATGAATTATATTCGGTGCTTCTGATTATTTTCTTTTAAGCTTTCCTTATGCCCTTCTTGTGTGTTTGGCTGAAATCTTAATCCAAGTACCTTCACTTTTTTTAGGCATGAAAATGTTCAACTATTGGAGAAAATGAAACAGCTTGTTCTGTTTTTAGAAAGGAAGCTGGATAAAAAGGTAAAAGGCAATTTAAGTGGTTTATCTCTTATTCCTTTTCTATAAATTATCAAAGTCAACAAGTAATGCTTTTCCATTTTTCCCAGGAAAAACTAAGAAGTGTTACTTTTCTTGAGGCAATGATTATAGTATCATGGTAGTTGACTGAGATTGTTCTAGAGTAGGAATCTTGTTATGAATACAAATTTTGGTGATAATCCATGAATATCGTTACTAGAAATTTATGGTGCATTGGGGATATCTTTAAGCAGAATAAAAGAAAAATCAAGCATAAATACAACCATGGATACTATTCATGAGTTATTTATTTATTTATACATATTATGAATGAGCTGATTATCTGATATGGAGCGAATCATAGAGGCTTTAGCCTTCACCTCATGACAACACAATTAGTAACATATGTAGGTGTTTACATGCTTTCAAAACAAAATATAATTCGATTGATAGGGCTGCACTACTGCATGGACGTTGGGAACTTTTAAGGATTTCTACAAGCTAACATAAAATCAAGCCAAACTTGCATTGTAGATGTATACATGTATCATTATGAAAAATTTTGATCAATGCACTCGCACTTTGTGCAAATGCCATACACTATTATTTATAAGTGGATACAAAGTTCTAGACACAAAATAGAAGCAAGCATTTGCTACAAGTAATTTTTACCCACAATTACCATCATGCCATCACATTTTCTTATTTTGGCCAAAACAATTGATTATGATAATATGGGGTTTCCATAAAATAATGTAAAGCAAAAACAACAATATCAAGCCTTTATTCCGCTGTGGGGTCGGCTACATGAATCTTTTTTTCTCCATTGTGTCTTGTTAAGAGTCAAATTCTCATTTAAATCTAATAAAAAAAGTCATTTCTAATATTTTCTAACCAATTTTTTTTAGGTCTACCTCTACCTTTTTTAACATAAGCCAAATCCAATGCATCTACTTTCCTAACTGGTTCATCGAAAGGCCACTGTTTTATGTGACCAAACCATCTAAAGCGAGTCTCTCTAATCTCATCTTCCACAGGAGCTACTCCAAACTTTTCACGTATATTCTCATTTTTGTATCCTATCTCTAAGAGTAAAGCCACTTATCCACATGAGCATCCTCATCTCTGCAGCACTTAACTTAATATTATGCTTCTCTTTTAATGGCTAACATTATACACCATAAAGCATTATAGGTCTCAGCACCATCTTATAGAATTTTCCCTCAAGTTTGAGGGGGACTTTTCTATCACACAACAAGCCAGATGCAATCATCCACTTCAGCCATCCATCTTGAATTCTACTAATAATATCCCCAAGATATCTAAAACGTGTACTCTTATTAATGACTTGATCGCCTAAAATCAAAATCCCCACACTAGATCTGTTACTACTAAAATTACACTCCATATATTTGGTTTTAGATCTACTTAAATGAAAACCTTTAGGTTCTAAGTTTGACCTCCATAATTTAAGTTTACCTTCAACTCCCACTCTAGTCTTATCAACAAGAAAAATATCATCTGCAAAAAGCGTACACCAGGATACAACTTCTTACAAATGTCTACTGAGAACATCCATGTTTAAAGCAAAAAGATATTGGCTTAAAGATGATCCTTGATGTAATCCAACAGAAATAGGAAAGTACTTGGTCAAACCACCTTGTGCTTGAACACAAGTAATAACTTATGCATACATATCTTTAATGACTTGAATATAAGCATCATTAACCCCTTTCTTTTCTTGAACTCTCCGTAGCACTTCTCTTTGAACTTCATCATATGTTTTCTCTAAATTAGTGAATATCATATGAAGATCCTCCGTATTCTCTCTCTATACTTCTCCATCAAATCTCTTAATAAACATACAACTTCCATAGTAGACCTACCCGGTTTGAATCCAAATTGATTTTGAGAAACATTAGTGTCACGTCGTTACCAATGCTCCATTACTCTCTCCCATAGTTTTAAAGCATGTGAAAAAAATCGTGAACTCCAAAAATATCCATATATTTCATTGCCTAATATAGTTCTGATAAATACCGTTCCTTTGTTGTGATTTTCATATTTATGTCCTTGTAAATATGATTACTCTGTAATCACAGTGGTAAATCGTCAATCAGAGTTACCCACTGTAAGCCTTTTATCCTCCTTGCCAATCTCCTTCTTTGTGATTAATGATTGACATCCATTCAAAGTCCCTTGCCTCGTTTAGATTATGCAATTAGGAACATTTTTTGAAATTGAATGTGGAAATTTTCTTTCAATTATTTTGTACCTGAATTATATTTGCTAAAGTGATTGTGCCCTCTCTCTCTCTCTCTCTCTCTCTCCTCTGAAGCTATACTCTGATAAGTGCGTAACAGCCATAATATAGCTCTCTCCATGTCACCACTTGCTTCTGATTCAAGTGCAGCTAATCTTTTGCTCGGTAGCCTACCCATCCCTATTGCTCTCCAACTGCCAAGGCTGCTCCATCATCCATCAAACCTTGGTCCCTATATACTTACACGGCCATTTAAGCTGTATTTAAGAAGTAGAAAATATTTCAATGTATAAGTCATATTCTCTGGATTTTAACTTCTTCTTTACTTCTATATATCTTCCAGTAATGTATCTCTAACTGCAATAACAGATCTCAAGTTCATGGTATCAGAGCGCGATCAAGCTTAACAACTACAAACGCTTTAAACTCATGGCGGAGTCATCCAGCAGTTCAACTCATTTCCAAACCTAGTTACCAACATGACTGAAACTCCTATAACCCTCTCCCTTATATTTCTAATGTCTAATCTCAAAGCCATAATTCACAGTCTACTCAACAATAATAACTATTCGATTTGGGGGCTTCAAATTATAAAGGTGTTTTTTGCTAAGCATTTTTTTGGGTTTCTTAGTGGAACAATGATATGCCCTCCCAAACAAATTCTCTCACCCACCGACAAAATTTTTCCTAACCCTCCTACTGAACTTGGCAATTTCTCAATCAAAACCTGTCCACTACCCTCTCTAGACCATCTCACCAACCATTCTTCCCTTTATATTGAATCTTCACTCTTGTCACGAAATTTGATAGACATTAGAGAAGTGATTACAACCCACTAAGAAATCAAGAGTTATCTAACCCAAAAATAAACTCCATTGTGTTTCTATTAAGAGTTGGTTGCCCAATCCGCCTCTCAGCCCACTACTATATGTTATTCTCAAGCTTCCAAACATCCTAAGGGGCAACAGGACATGTCCTCAAAATTCGTTGTTTTGCAACATCAAGGTACTTGGTCACTTGTTCCCCCACTCTCTAATAGTCAATCATGGGATGTCGCAGGACATACAAAACTAAACTCAATCTTGATGGTTCCATTGGCCGCTACACGACTCATTTTGTTGCTCAAGGCTTCAAACAATATTATGTAGATGATTATTTAGAAACTTTCAGTCTAGTAGCTAAGATGCAGACCATTAGCATCCTTCTTACAATTTCTTTAAATCATCATTGGCCGGTCCATCAACTTGACATCTCTAATGCCTTCTTACATGGCACTCTTCCAAAAATCATTTATATGCCTTGATCGATGTTGTCCTCTGTACAATACCCAAAAGAAACAAAAATGAAATCATACCTTGACCGTCAGATCCAGAATTTCTGCTGAAATCCCGGTTGGAATCCTCGTATCCGTCGAGAAGCCGTCCAAATCCCCGAAATCCCGCCTGAAATCCTGCTGGAGCCGCTAGAATCGCGTCTTTTCCCTGATTTCCTGCGACGTTGCCTCGATCGAACGACCACAGGCGTCGTTAAATAGAAGCCGAGCTCCTCATTCGCTCCTTCCTCCTTCCCATTCGCAAACCACACGACTCTTCTTCCTTCTCCAAACCGAAGCCTCCGCTCCTACTCTTCCACTTCCACGATGTCCAGCTCGCTGATGCCTCCTCTCGTCGAGCCTGATCATCTGATCGATGACTAGCCTTAATCGAAAGTTCTCTCTCATGATTGGGAGGGGTAATTAACTATAAGGGCTTGCGCCTATAGGAAACCAGAACTCAGATCATAAAGTCCTCACAAAATGAGGGCGAAATCTCTGGGTAGTGTCTTATCTACAAACTCATATGCCTTCCAAAATTTACCTCGGAACTTATCAGTTAAAACTCCCTCGTCGAATGAAAAGAAAAGAAAGCGGGGAGGTTGGGGCCGAATTTTCGGAGCCCAAAATCGACTGTATTCATTGATCCTAATCATTCTTGTCATGTCTGCTGACTTCACAAAGCTATTTATGGTCTTAAACAGACACCCTAATAATGGTTCCTCACATTTTCTAACTTTCTCTTTAGCCATGGCTTCCATTACATCAAATATGACCCTTCCCTTTTCATTTATTCCAACAACAAGACCCACATTGTTCTTCTCCTCCACGTGATGACATCCTCTTCACCGGTAACAAGCCCTCACACATGTTCACCCTTTTTGTAGCTCTCTAATATCAATACTCCCTCAAAGATCTCAGCCCAGTTTCTTTCTTCCTTGGCATCCAGGTGACCTCCACACCACATTCATACTTTCTTCACCAAGCCCAATTCACCAAAGAGATCCTTCACAATTTCAACCTTGCAAATTGCTAACCTGCTCCATAAGCTGTCATCCTTAAGATCTCTCTACGAAGGTTGACAATGACGAACCATTCCTAAGTCCTATAAATTATCAAATAGCTAGCTCTCGACAATACCTCATCATCACTAGACTAGACATAGCCTTTGCTATTAATCTACTTTATCAATCAATGCACTAGACTCTCAACCAAAAATTTCAACAAATGAAACAATTACTTCATTACATCAAATGTACAATTCATCTTGGATTACCAATCTGATGCAGAACTACATATGAATCCAAGGAGTTTGGTTAAGAATTCGCTCAACTTTTGATTAGAATAATAGTGAATAAAACTATTAGCAATTTAAAACTATGAAATAAAACATAAAAATGGGTCACGCCCGCTTAGGCTAATACACAT